TAATAGCGTCGATCTAAGCAAACAGGATATATCCAAAAGCAAACAGGATATATCCTAGAAAATCATGTCAATATAGTTCCAAATAAGGCATCTCCGACATCAAACTCATGATAATTTGGTTGTGTTTTGTGTACAGTTTCACAGCATTCTATAATAAAAATACCATTAGTACTTATTTAATAGATCGAAACAAGAAATTTTAAAAAAATGACCACGTTATAATCGCAATTTATTATATTTTCTTTTTTTTTAAATTTCCTTGGAGAAAGAAAATTTTGACCCAATTTTATTCTCTTCCTTACATACCTCACTCATCAAAAATCGAGCAAATAAATGGATTTGTAGAATTTATGTGAAGAATGCAACGAGAATATATTTCTTACATGTGGTTGCCAACAATGCAGCCCAAAACGGATTTGATAAACTTTATCTAACTTCAATTGAACATTTTATAAATTAAATATCTGAATCACTTTTATATATTTAACACAGTAAAAATTGCGTGTTTTTTCCTGTTTACAATTGTCATGTGTTATTAATAAATTGCGCTCATAATTTTACATTTATAATCCAGAAGCAACTAAATAAAACATAGAAATAAATTAATTTAATATTTAAATCAGGAATAGATATAGTTTTCATTTTTACGTTTTGGAAGACTTTAATTAGGAAATCAACTGGTGCAAATTATTTCTGGATGTGCTTTATAATCGAGTGGAATTATAGTGTTATATTTGGAAAAATTTTTGGCATTATAAATTTGAATTGTAATTTCGTTGTTATTTTTAAAACGCCATGTGGAACATCATAATATGGTGCAATTCTTATTACACCTGGAGAAATATAGGGTAATGCACTAAATTTTGTTCAATTGATCCGAAATCTGAAATATATAAAGGAAACTATTTTACAAATCCAAAATCTAAAGAAGAGGTTTGAAACTTTTACAGTATATTCGTAAAGGAGAAAATTTAAAATTATTGGGTAAAATTATAAATTATTAGAGATTTTCGAAAAAAAAATTGAATCTTAAAAATTTTTAACATTATTTAAGAACCTTCATTAAATTTGTAAAAGCATCTAACTTTTTAATGCTACATCTTATATTCCAATATTGAACTTATCCATCCATTTAACATTGTAAATAGTATGAACTACCCTGTTATCTCTTTAACTGTTAATACTTTTAAAACTATCATTTCTATTACTTTATTACTCATTCGACTATCGGATAAATGAATAAAATGAAATGAATAATCTAGTCATTCTCATTCGTTATCTCATTACTTATTTCATCATTTTCAGAATATTTCTTTTGTTCAAAAGTTCGAACAAAACCTTGAGAAGATTTGTATTCTGACATTTCCGGATGCATGTTGCTAACTAATTCCTTCATTTCTTCCAATGAACAATTATACATCTTAGCAATAATTTTTGCTAATGTAAAAAAGGGAACAGATATAGCTTCTTGGAATTCTTCATCAAGTTTTCCTCCCCAGCTACCCACCGGTATTTGTTTGGTAACTTCGTTAATATTCGTTATGTTTAGATTTTTTTCTAAAATAATTAAAAATAAATAATTAGAAATAATTAGAATAATAAATAAATAAAATAATAAATAATTACCAAATCATTCTGTGAATAATGTGTACTTTTCACTTCTAATGATTCAAAAAGTTTATCTGTCATAGAAACAAACTTTTCTATACAAGGACCTGCGTTATCCAAACTTCGATGGGCTTCTTGAAATTCAAACCATCCGCCCGGTTTTAAAATACGTATACATTCTAAACAAATAAAGATTTATGTAAAGATTTATATAAAATTAGTATGAACTTTAATAAATTTAAATTTAACGAATTCCAGTAAATATAAATTACCTGGTACTGTACCTTAAATAGATTAAAATAAAAATAAAAAAAATACGAAAAATATAATAAAAAATTAATAAAGATTCAAGTAAAATAAAATGAGAGTAAACAAATTCCTACATCACCTAAATGAATATAATCAAAATAATTTGATTCAAATAGTAAATTATTTTGAGCATCCGCCACGATGAAATCTGTATTATTTGGTTTTATTTCTGATGGAAACACATTAGATTTGTCCAGACCAACAAATGAAGATTGAGTATATTCTGAGGCCGTATCCAATATCCAAGTTCCTGGACCGCAGCTATAAAAGATATATATATATATAAGAGAGAAATACAAGAGATATATACAAGAGAGAGATAACTTACCCAATATCTAAGAATTCGACATCCATTAGTTAATAAATCTTGAACCAGAGCAGAAAAATTTCTCTCATACATATTTTATAACAAAATGTTTTCTTTTTAGTATTTCCAATTCTTCAAATTTATTTGTTAATACATAATTTGACTCTGTTTTACTATTACTACTTATATTACTATGTGAAACATTATTTTCTGAATCAAAAGCTTTCCCATGTTTAGATTTTCCTGTTCTTTTTTTTATTTTTAATCAACGATATACCATTTCCCATATTTTTAATATGCTTATTACTACAGTATATTTGATTATATTTAGTTATATTAGGGTTATATTTTTTAGATCTAATAAGTTAAGCCATTAGAGTATAAGTTCGTATAAATGTTTTATAAAAAAGTCTGGACGACTAGGTAAAATTGCAGAATGCTTCTATACTTATTAAAAAATTTTATCGATAACATAATCAATTTCTAGCTTAACTAAGCAACGATAACTACGCATTGTGTAAATAATTTAAATTAATGAATCACTTAACGTTAAATTAAATGTACAAAATATTACATTAAGTACATGATCTTTGATGAGATATTTTAATATTGTCCTAAGTAGGGCATCAACTAATAGCAACATATACCGTTCTGATTCTATACTTATTTCAACCACATTGTTCAGTGGAATGAAGATTCCTGTTTGTAAATAAATAATTTTGGCAGGGCCAGCATCACAGTCTTGAAATTGCTATATTAAACTTAGTTGTGCTTTGTGTATAGTTTCGCAGGAATTCTATAATAATGGAAAAATGAATGGATAAAAATTTTCAATCGGTATTAATTTTTTTTGTAATTAGAAATTTATTATATTTTGGAAATTTATTTGTTATTTATTTCTTTAGATATTTGGATCGCTTTTTCGAAATTATCTAAAGAAAAATAAAATACTTATCTGTAAGTTTTCACTATGCGAGAAAATAGTAAATACAGCAGTGCCCCCAAAAAAAAACAAGCTACTTATAATCATCAAAAGAAAAAACTACAGTTCTAAAACAAGTTATCAAAACAACAAAACTTACCCGCTCACAGTAATAAATAATGAAAGACCAAAGAAATCGGCACTAAATTACTATGGCAAATTTATGTAAATCATATATAAATGCTCCAAGTAGGAAAAAATTACAAAATTAATATCACAATTCATGCGATAAGTTAGATAAAACATGTTGGCAAAAAAATTATCAATCAAATAGGTTTGGACTTATATCTATATAATATAAACAATAGTGCCGTTCTTTCACGGATCACGGCTTAAAAATAATGAAACATATAAATACAATTATTTTTTTGCAAGAATAACGATACCAGAAATAGCGATTTTACGTGTTTGATTACGATAACGAATAGAATTTTCTCATATATACTATGAAGTACACATAACATTTAAATATTTTTAAAATCAAGAAAATAACAAATATTTAATTTTGAATTGTGCATGATTTGAATTTGCAAGTCGATATTCTTTCTCAACTAAAATAAAAATTTATAAATATGTAATGGTCTAGAAATTTATAGGGTTAATTGTTTGATACCAATTTTGACAAGAGATGTCAATTGTTTTTGTTTTATGTTTAACTTATGTTAGAGATGAATCGTAATTTATAAAAAGAAATCATGATATTATATATTCTGTAATATATCATTTGTTATGAAAATGGCTATACTACTCTTAAATCCTTCCGAAACAACAAATAATTTTATTCTAAATAAATTTCGTGATACAATGCAATGTTGTAATTTTCAGATTCTTCGAAGAGCAAAAATTTGAGCAATTTCATTTCCTTTTCTTAATTACCTCATCCACCAACTAAAATGGATTTATGAAATTTATGTGAAGAATACAAATGAGAATACAATTCTTACATGTGTCAACTATGCAGCTCAACATAATTAGACAAGCGAAAATGGAGAAATAGATAAACTTTATTTAACATTCAATTGAATAAGTAATGAAAGTAGAATGGATATTATATGATGGATTTAAAAATATTAAAGAGATGACAAAAGGTGATTCGTACTATATTAATTCGTGATCCGTGAGTTAACTGCAATAAATCATATATAATTTTGATGCAACTTTTTTTTCAATAACTAAATAATTTTTATCCTTAGGAAATGGTCCAAAATGACAATTCTTGTTTTAAGAACCAAGAGAAACCAAAGATTGATATTCTCTTCTTTACTCATTGTTTAATATGTAATTGGAGGTGTTTTGATAATTGGATATGGATTTCTATGAATCGCGAGATTCTCAAATCGAATAAAAAGTATAGTAATTAGATAATCTTAATAATGATCTGCACTTAACTCAGATCACGAATTAATGTTGTGGCGAACCACAGATTTTTATAAATTCGAGAAAAAATAATTTTCGAATTGAAAATATAATTGGTTGAAGATAGAACATGTGATTCTTACACCACGTGCTAAGCATAGATTATATATCATGTGATACTATAGTTATCTCAGTAGCTAAGGTACCGTATATCGCGGGCCGGGTATATTAACAATTTTGCTTATACCGGGGTACAATACATAGCAAGATAAAGGGAGAGTACTGTGAATGGGAGGGGTATAAGGTTTGTAAAGTACCACCTATATTTGTACCCGGGCATATAATATTAATAAAGAAAAAAAAATCATTCATTTTTGTGAAACATGTATGATATAAAAATGTGCGCGATTTTTTTTTTGTTTATAATTCTAATTGATAATGGTTGTTATTGGCAATAAAAGGAATAAAAAAGCACACAACCAGTTACCACAAAAGAAATGTCAACAATGGAATGTACGTGAAAAGTTAATGGTATTACATTATCTGGAAAATAATGGAAGAAATAAATGTGGAACTGCTAAAAGATTTGGTGTTCAACCTAAACAAATACATGACTGGAGTAATAATAAGGCAACTTTGTTAGAAACTGCACCTCATGTTACAAAACTCTATTCTGGTAAACCACCTAAATATCCAAGTTTAGAAGATAATTTATTTTCATGGATAAGTGAAAGAAGAGCCAAACAAAATTCAATTATTAGAAAAATAATTGTTACTAAAGTAGTATCTTTATCTAGAAGTCCAGAATTTTTAGAAAATAATCATGAAATCCTTAAATTTAAATTTTCAAATAAATGTCTTGATGCTTTTTTGACTAGATACAATTTCAGTGAATGTCGAAGAACAACAGTTGCACAATATTTGGCACCTGATTTAATTGAAAAACAGAATATCTTTTTAAGTTATATTTTGTATAGAAGAATTCAACATGATTATTTATTAAATTTTATTGGTAATATGAACAAAACACCAATGTTATTTGATTTATCTAACAATACTACTATAGATCACAAAGGTACAAAAACAGTTATAATTCATACAACTGGACATGAGCGTTGTTACTAGTTGACCTGTCGGGTGAAATAAGGTTCCAACAGGAGGTTTACAACTAGTAAACTTAAGCGATTCAAGTTAGATAACTAAATTATTAATCAAG